AAGATGCAGAGCATCAACTGATGTAAACTTGTCCCGATACTTTTTTGGATGAGAAACGCAAAACGCAAGTAATGTCAAAAAGAGGCCTCGTCCTAAATACTGCCCGTTTTCATAGTGCAGTGGTATCTTGTAATCAAGGAAGTCAGTCACCATGGAAAAACGACTTTAATCTTTGCATGTTAGGCAATCCTTTCAGTCTATAAGGATAAATCTGGAAGTCTGTATCTAATTTCCTTTCTTTTTCTATAGAAGTGGATTCGGGGGATGACCTTTTAGTGCTTCAGTCTCGCAAATTTCTGCATCAGTGGCTAACCTTTCCAGATCTGACTGCTCGAAAAAACGTTCGCTCAGGCGTAATTCAACCATCGAAGAAACATCACAGAGAGAAAACGAGCTCGCAATATCTTTGGAGGGCAGACAAACTGGCCTTCAAGTCTTTGAATCCATACTCTGGGTATTTCTCGTTGGATCTACGGATTTGGGAAACCCCTTGGTTTCTTTGTCTTTGTACAAGACCAGAGGATTCCGCGCACCTCAAAACTATTACATAGCGTGCCTCGCCGCCACAGACTTGCTGTTCGCCGTTTTGTGTATGACGTTATCCCTTGGATCACTAATAAAAGGCCTGTGGATTTTCCGTGATGCCTTGTGCCAAGCTCAAGGCAGTCTTATATATATCTACGCTCTCGTTTCTCTATTCACAATGGCTCTCATCGCCATCAACCGGTTTTTCAAGATAACAAAGTCTGTAGCCATTTATCGGAGAATTTATACCAAGAGGAACATTTTGCTCTCAATTCTTGTGGCTTGGATTTTCGCAATTGCTTTGGCGACGGCCGTGTTTTCATTTGGAACTCAACCGTTTCGCTTTCATACTGGAAAGAATCTCTGCTTTCTAGACATGAGCCACCACAAGGGCATCCCTCTGTACACACTCGGGGCTTATGGTGTGGTTTGCGTTGTAATATTTCCGTCGATGCTATTCTGCTACTTCAAAGCTTACTGGAGGGTTCGGGCACATTTTGCCGAGATTTTGAACTCGAGACTTGCTCGAAATGCTTCGGGATCTTTTGCGGACGAGGCGAGGATTACTCGGATGTTGTTCGTTACCCTTATTGCGTTCCTTGTTTGTTGGACACCAGCTGTGTGCACGGATGTTTATGAAGCACTGTGGGGCCAGTATTCGCTTCCACGTCAATTGTACTTTTGGCAACTGGTGCTGCTAGTGAGCAACAGTGCTGTTAATCCAGTCATTTATGGACTTATGCGACGGGAGCTCAGAAAGGCTTACAAAGATANAAAATCTTGAACAAAAGCTCATCTTTCAAACCGGCAGTCTAAATCCCACAGGGATCAACGAACGCTTTTCATTCCACTAATTTCTTCATGTTTTTCTCGTTGCCATGCTCCCACCAATAACGTAGCTCCATTTTCTGCCTTTAAAACCACACACAACCCACAATTCCTCTATTCGCTCCGACGAAGGGCTAACGCTCAAAACGTCAGCTTTTGTAATCATTACGGTGGCCAATTTACCATTTCAACTTTGTTGATGTATCCAAATTATTTCGTTACTCCCACCGACGCAGCCCAGAACAGTTTCTTTCGAAACTATCAGCCTTTATTCATTTCTTGATGTTATGGCTATCTTAAAATGATGCGCGATTTCACTATTCAGCATTAAAAAAAAATTGCTTTCTTGCTGGACATGAAGCTTACAGGGATTAAACTTTGCGGTCATGCAGGAAGTCTACCTATTTGGTTCTAAAAACTGTTTTGACATCTAATTATAATTATTTTATCGAAATTTGCTAAAATATGGCATCCTGGAGGTTAACACGACTTGTAGTCTTAAATAAAGAGGCGAAATAAACAGATTTTTCAAACTTCTTATGAATGCTCGCCACCGGCGGTCTAAATCAGAGAGTGATTGTCATTTTTGAAAGAAGCGGCGCAATCCACAAATCATGACTGACACGCACTGAGAGCTGCTGTGATCATATGCTCTGATGTATGTGCAGAATGATATGAACCCTATAATTATCTCCTGGCTGTCGTGACTTGTAATTATGCGTGTTTACCAATTGGGGCTTAATCTGCTGCGACACTAATCGCGCGGAATCAATTTCTTACGCATTCATGCAGTTAAGCGTAATTATACTAAAGAGTGCTTGAACAGCTTAGCCGTCTCTCAGCTGGAGTGAAAATATCCGATTAATGCTTCTGCTTGACGTTGGTCGTTAACCGGCAGAGAAAACGTTAGAATCCAGGGAGTCTGGCAGAGTCGCGCTTCCGATAAAGAGCTTGCTTTAGTAACTTTAGCTTTAGTTCCTTTTATAATTAGCAACTTTAGCAAGATTCGAAAAGCGTATCGAGAGTCAAAATGCGGAAAAGAATTCCTATTTACGCAGTCGTTAAACTAAACATCACATGGGTAACGCTCAGCAACTTAAGCTCGGGAGTTAACCGATGAAAGGGTGAAAGACATTCATCACCAAAAAGCCATGTCGGCACGACAGCTCTCAAACAGTCGGAAGAAAATTGACCCGACGGAACTTGGAAAGAGAAGGTCTAGCGACGGAGGTGGAAAAAACTCGGGATCAGTTGTGCTTCAGAATGGTTCAAGTTGGTGTGAAAGGGGTTTTGATAACGAAACAATGGCTACTTCACCAAACAGTAGTCAAAGGTTCTTTGACAGTGACGGAGCTGTTCAAATGATGACATTTCAACCCACGTCTCGCGTGAGCAAACATGAAGAATCTTGTTATCAACTGATTTCCTCTTGTTCGACTAATCGTAGTAACGCGGTGAAAAGTGGAGCAGATGAGAATACAGAAGGTCTGGCGGATTTTCCAGCACGCAGAGCAAGTTTCCACACTTCCATTCAAGGTTTATCTCTGTTGAGAGTGCCTGATCCTGAGCTCACTGGCCATATAAATTTTTCAGACAGCCAAGCAGAGGACACTACGCGAATGACAGACGAGCAAAGGAATAAACTAGAACGTTTGAAGCAACAAATATTTTTGGATAACACTAGGAGAAAGTGGGGCCGAAAACTAAGTGAAAACAAAGTAGCTAAGAGCACGCACTCTAATGTTACCGGGGAAACTAAACTTCCTGTTTTGACTGGGGAGGCGGTGAAGCGTCACTTGAGATGTCACGAGACGCCAATTACAGTTTCGAAGCCTTTATCAATGTATGATTCTGGCTCAAATTTTGAGCCGACAGATAGAGGCACACCATTGCAAAATCAAAATTACGATAGGGATGCTGTTTTTAAACTGGCCCGACATGACAGCGCATCAGACCAATTTGACGCTCCGTTGAATATGGACCCATTCACATCTGCATATTACGAACACCACTCTCAACGGAAATCAAATGAACATGATTTTGAACTCTCGCGTCCGCCTATTGGTGAAGAAGGTGACTTCGAATCCATCGCTGTTTTCATGGGACGGTTACGAACGCGATCTGAACCTGGCGACCTGGTGTCCCGAAAAGTGTCGACCGTACATCAGCTTCACACTCGCACCAGGTCGGAAAATAACGAATTGAGAACAAAAGTCCAGTTATTTGTCAAGAAACCACTCCCAGCTTTACCACCCTCAACACTGCGCGTGAAGAAACAAGTTATAAACGAAGTCACTAGCCATTCAATTTCTGGCGCTCACGCTAGTGCTAGTTGGACGCCACGAGAAAGAAGAGAAGGCATAGTCAATATTCACACCTGTCCCAATTTGAACGTGTTTTCTGACCGTTCTTGGCTGTACCAGGATGTTTCTCGTAATAGGCATAGGTATATAAGAGGGCCGGCCACACCCGTCCCACCTGTGGATTTCGTATTTCGCGAGGACAAATCTTAAAGGCCGTAGTTCCTCGTATTATCTTTCGTGAATGGGATCTTCTTGTCTTTAGATCATCATGTCGACAATAACATTTCATCAAGGGCCCCAAGAGAATAGGCTGACTAAGAACAGAAATATGAATCAAACCCAACAAAAGTGCGACGGCCGTTCGAGGGACATCCTCGGATTTGGGACACGGAGGTGACATTGAACCCACGCGCAACTAAACGTAATCCTGGCCTCAGATATCATGGAAACTCGGTGACACTCGGACGTAAGCGATCATGGAATTCCCACGGGAGAGGCCGGCACCCTAGTGACAAGACCTTTCTGCCCACTTAGATCGTTTACGTATTAGCTTCATTATGACAGACATCCATTTTAAACCGGTAAAGGTGAGCAGAAGCCACGCAAGATATTTAACTATATATTTATTGAGTAACAGATCTTTAGATCGAATAACTTGGAACTGAAATAATGAAATATCTAATTTGTGTACCAGTCGCGAAAACAATTTTCACAGATTACCTATGTGCATACACTGAGTGCGCATGTAAATCGACGACGATACTGCTTGGAAAAGTAACCTCAGGGAGTTGTGAAATACCTCAGAATTCAACTGACCATGATAAAGTTTGCCCCAAGCGAACTAGCGCAGATGAAACTACAGCAAACACATTGTGGTAAAGAAATTTAAGAGAAAAATCCATTAAAATATGTATTCGATGAACGGGTTTTAAATGTGTAGTTCCCATAATATCTTAAGACATATACTGGACAAGTGCCTGACACGTCAAATACGAGAGACCTAACCATTACTTCTTGGTTAAGAACACGTAACATTAAAGGTTCTTGGTACAGTGCAGCACCACAAATTAAGCAGTTCTTTCCTCCAGGCAAAAATACTGAAATACAATGCTTCATTCATTGAACGAAATGGACGTTGAGATTTATTTGTTCCACGATGCTAAAAAGTTGAGAACATCTTCATTGTTATAACAACTCACACACTTAGCATAACAGTTCTTTTTTGCCGCTTCTCTCATTTCAAACAAAAAGCCATATTTGGACACGTTGTGTCGTGTTCTGCTGATTTCTGCCTTCTCATTGGTCCAAATCACACTAAATCGAGGTTGACCTTTCACGTGATAGGCCTTGGCGTAAGATAACACCAATCCCTCTTTTGCCTGTCTGTGAAATTCAAACTGATAATAATCTGGTTTCAGGTCAAATTCTGCAATACATTCGCCATTCGCGACCTTTTCGTACAGAACTGAGACATGTAGCCGGCCTTTGTACTCGGTCAAGCACTGTACAGTGAGATTAAAACCACTTTTAAACATCACGGGCATATTTTTTCGATGTTGAGCCACGGTCAGATCCAAATCTAATGTCCACGACACTTCATTACTGGAGGTTACCAGCAGTGCGAAAAGTAAGTCGTTGTCATCAACGTAAGTTTCGATATGGACAGGCCGTAGACCGACAAGATTGTTCAGTGTTTCGCGGCAAGCATCCTTTGTAAGTCCAATATAAACAGACATGGCCGAGTTGAAATTAGCGTTCTGGAAAAAAATCGTATTGAAGTATAAAGCATCCGCGAATCTATAGGCGTTCAGCCATGTTAATTCAAATCCTCGACTCTTAACATCCTCGTACAATGGCCAGAAATGGCTTTTTGGTACCATTATTGTAATCAATTGTCGTTTGTCTTCCGTTAGAATACTGCTCGGAAATATACCGCCAAAATCTGGCTGTATCGAAACAGATAACAGGCGACTCAACGCGTACTTTACCAGACCATCAAGATCTAGATCTTTAGCCCAAGAATTGAACAACAGTGCCCAAGCATACCCCTCGCACTGGCGTGTCAAAACACCCGAGGTACCCTCCATCTGTCCACTGTGACCCCAAGAGCTTCCATTGTCCCAGATGTCGAGACCAAACCCGTACCATTCTTCTGTATCCTTCTCAAATAACGGCTTGTCGAGCATTTTTTGGAAAGTTTCGCGTGAGATGATTCTGTTTCCACTCACTCCTGATTCTAGGGAGAGGAGAAACTTCAACAGGTCAGAAGCAGTTGCGATCCACCCCCCATGGGCGTCCGCCTCTTCCATGGTCCACCTTCCATACTGTGGTGGCACTTTACACCCGTCAGGAAATATCGACTTCACCATCCTGGGGTGACGATTGTGAAAATATTCCACCTGAGGAAGCATATGGAAAAAGGGTTAAAGTCAATATCTAGCAACCTGGTGAATCTAAATTCGCCCAATCCGTCCAACAAAAGGTACCCACTAATTAGTGTACAACTACTCAATACTGATCCATTCCATTGAATCACAACAGTGCCTATCATGCAGAACTGTCGGTGAGAGCCGATATCCGGCCCAAAACCCCGAGCTAGCCTTCCGGTGACTTTAACCTCATCCTTATCCAATGAAAACTGAAAATTATTGAAAAATCAGCGAAGAAATTTGTACAGCAGCCATTTCCCATAAACAGGCTTATATGCGAGAGTCAATCCCACGCCCAAAGGTTCGCGCAATCTGCGTGACACGCCTGTCACTTTTGTGACTGAATGGTTCTACCAGTTTTGCTAGCTTGTAAACTGGGGAAACAAAAGAGCGTCAATGATAACTTGGCTCCCAAATTTTCTTATTTGCTGTCTACTTTTAAAATCATTGACGGCCCTGATTACTTTAATTCTTGTTTTTTACGGACCTACCAACAGGGGAGGCCTCAGTGGCCCTCTAGTCTATTGTTGCTAACTCATCTGCAGTCCTGAGTGGAAGTACCGGGATTGTACAGTGTCAGGTATAAGAAAGCAAAACAACGACACAGCCGGGACTAGACCCCACACAATTCAAACCATGGGAATGGACGTGGGGATTAGGTCCAGAGCGGGGAGGGGTAAGATAAATGTACCTCCTTGTCACTGAGTTCGTTCTTCCGAGTTCTGCCAATTTTCATTTGCTTCATTCCCATGACATTCAAAAGAGTCGTCATAAATTCTTCATATCTTTGACCAGTCGCTCTCTCAATGACTTGTCCCAAAACTGTATAACCAAGGTTGGAATAAGCATGTCTTCTTCCTTCCAGGAAAAAAAAAAAGGGAAAAATAAATCGATTTAAATCAAAACACAACAGAACAAAATAAGATGCACAACCAGACAAACAAACAAAGAAACAGGAACTGAGATAGTGGCAATCACATCTATGTGAATGTGACGTCCTACACACTCAGATAACTACCTTTAAGCAATAGAACACATTTTTCCGGCCCTATAACGTGATAAATCCATGCCGGATTTTGGGAGAACACGAGGAAAGCAAATAAATTAGAAGCCAAAGGCAAATGAACAAGAACTACTTAAAATATTCAAGGAAAGAAATTGATCATTGCTTTTGCGAGTTTGGTGGCTCCTTTAAGAAACGTTTTTACTGATAAATATAAGC